TCTGAGCTTCAGTCTGCCCTGACCTTTTGCGGTTCTACGGCAGCGGGCTCTGATGGCGTTCATTATGAAATGCTTCGCGATCTCCCTCCGTGCACGTCTCAGTATTTACTGAGTCTGTACAATCGGGTCTGGGAGTCGTCGTCGGTCCCAGAAGACTGGCTCGATGCTGTTGTCCTTCCTGTTCGGAAACCAGGGTCTCTCGGGTCATCCCCCAAGGACTTACGCCCTATTGCCCTCACGAGTTGTGTCTGCAAGCTCTTTGAACATATGGTTAACGTTCGTTTGATGTGGTTCTTAGAACACTATAACCACCTCTCTCCTTCTCAATTTGGTTTTCGCAAGTGCCGCAGCACAACGGATGTCCTGGTGAACTTGGAGGTCTATATTCGTACTGCTTTTGCTGCGAAGACCTCCGTTGTTGCCGTCCTTTTTGACCTGGAAAAGGCTTACGACACTACCTGGCGGTATCATATTCTGTCTCAACTTCATTCTTTTGGCCTTCGTGGGAACCTCCCTCTCTTCCTCCAGAGCTTCCTCTCTCGTCGTTCTTTTCGTGTGCGGCTTGGTACTGCTCTCTCTGCCCCTTTTCGGCAGTATGAGGGTGTACCCCAGGGTAGTGTTCTGAGCACTACTCTTTTTCTAGTTGCCCTCAACGGTCTTCTTTCTTCTCTTCCTTCTGGCATGTTTTCTGCTCTCTATGTTGATGATCTTACCCTTTGCTGTCGGGGTGATGATTCACCTCTCCTTCAACGGCGGCTTCAACTTGCGATTGATGCCGTGTCGTTTTGGGCCACCGATCATGGCTTCAAGTTCTCTGCGTCTAAGACTTGTGCTATGACTTTTACTCGGAAGCATGTCGTTCTTCGTCCCTCTTTGTCGCTTTATGGTCATCCCATTGTGTACAGGGATTCCGCAAAGCTCTTGGGGTTAGTCTTTGACACTCGTTTGTCTTGGTCGACCCATATCTCTTACCTCCGAGTTGAGTGCTCTAAGGCCCTTAACCTACTTAAGGTTTTGTCCCATACTTCTTGGGGAGCGGATAGACGCACGCTCCTATATTTGCACTCCTTTCTCGTCCTGTCTAAACTCGATTATGGTTGCCCTGCTTACTCTTCTGCTTCTCCTTCTACTCTTCGCCATCTTGATGCTTTGCACCATACAGGGTTGCGTCTCAGCTCTGGTGCCTTTCGTTCGACTCCCGCCCTCAGTTTTTATATGTTGACACTGGCTTTCTCTCTCTTCAGGACCGCCGTGATCGCTACTGTCGTCGCTATCTTGCGCGGTCCTGACAGCATCCTTCCTCTCGCCTCTGTCGTGCTTTGACTTTTCCTCCTCTTGTAGCTCCTGTTCCTCTTCATCGTCTCCCACTTTCTGTCCGGTTATCTCGCTTGCAGGATTCTCTTTCTGTTCATATTTCTAATGTTTCTCCTCCTATTGTTCCTTCTTTGCCTCCGTGGAGAGTCCCCCTTCCCAAGTTTTGTACGTCCTTGACTTGTATTACTAAAGCCTTTACCCCTCCTACAATTCTGAAAAGCCTCTTCCTTGAGCACTTTTCTTCGCACTCCCACTCTATTTCCATCTTTACCGATGGGTCTAAGTCTGCGGACGTTGTGGGCTACTCTGTTGTTTTTCCTGACCGTACTTATATGTGTCGCCTCTTTTCGGAGGCTAGCGTCTTTACGGTGGAACTTTATGCTATTCTCTATGCTCTCCGTCTCTTGCTTTCTCATTCTCATTCCTCCTTTGTGGTTGTAGTTGACTCTCGTAGTGCCCTCAAGGCTCTTGGGTCCTTTAATCCTGTCCACCCAGTGGTTATTGAGATTCAGCAATGGCTGTTTCTTATTTCTAGTAAATTTAAATCGGTAGAGTTTTGCTGGTGTTTCTTTCAATAGCGTGCGGATGCTGCCGCTAAGGACGCTATCTGTTCTTGTCCCATCTCCCGTAAAGGTCTTCCTTATTCCGACTTTTATCCTGTTATTCATTCTTTCATCCTTGCCCGTTGGCAGGGTTGTTGGTCCTCTGTGGTTCGTAACAAGCTACGTACTCTCAAACGTAGTGTGTCCCCGTGGCCTTCCTCCTACCACCGTAACCGGCGGTGGGAAACTGCTTTGGCACAGCTGCGGGTTGGCCATACTCGCTTAACCCACGGTCACTTAATGGAGCGCCGCCCCTGCTCCTTATTGTCCGAATTGCGTTGTCCCTCTTACAGTTGTGCATATCCTTGTTGAATGTCCTGACTTCCAGGACGCGCGTGTGTCTTGCTTTCCGACCGTCCCTCGCAGTCACTTGTCCCTCGATAGAATTCTAGGTGAATCGGATACTTTTGATATCGTTCGCCTTATGCGTTTTTGTTCTCGTATTGGCTTTCTTGGTGATATTTAGCACGCTCTGATTATTTCGCACTTTGATGGTGCTACATAGCCTTCCCGGTTTGGTGCCTTCTTTTGATAATTACCCTACCTTGACGATGTCGGAGTCAAGTGGTCTGAGTGCAGTGGCTTCAAATCCTTTTCATGGCTCCTACTGATTTTCTCTAACACAATATTACGATTTGTCAACTAACGAGATTAATCAAAATTCCTTATGAGGAAAAATACCACCAAATCCTGAGCAGTAAGAGCACAGTACTTTTTTGATCTCCTTAATCAAGTAAATAATTATCAAAAGAAGGCACCAAACCAGGAAGGCTATGTAGCACCATCAAATGTGCGGAATAATCAGAGGGCGCTAAATATTATCAAGGATGCTAATACGAGAATAGAAACGCTTAAGGCGAACGATATTAAAAGATTCCGATTCACCAAGAAGTCTATCGAGAGACAAGTGACCGAGAGGGGCGGTCGGAAAGCAAGACACAGGCTCGTCCTAGAAGTCAGGACGAATGTAAGAGGGACAATGCAATTTATACAATAAAGAGCCGGGCGGTGCTCCATTTAAGTGACCATGAGTTAAGCGAGTATAGCCAAGACGCAACCTTGCTAGAGCCTCTCCTTAACCAGGGTCGTTTCTATTTTGATATATTCAATAAATCTGTTTTATTGAATATGACCGAAAGGGTAAGATTAATGATTCTAACATGAATCTTCTCAATATTTCTTACGTTTTTCTTCACTTCCAGGCTTGTGGGTCATGACATTCCCATACGCATACCCAGGTTTGAATTCCCCGATAACCTTTGGCAGGTGGAGTCCTGATTTTTTGGCGTTCACAGTTTCAATCAATCTTTTTACCTTCGTTTTTAATTTAGTTGTAGTGTCCTTCGTTACCTTTTGGAATTTAGTTTGGTCAGAGAGTATGAGGTACATTTTTGCCAGATAATCGCATTTTATAAGAATAACGAATATTGGCGACTTGTCACCTCTCCTGACGACTATCTCCATATTCTCACGAAGGCTTTTAGCTGCCGCTTTGAGTTCGGGGGACAGTATGGTGCTTCTACAGTGACCTCTAATCTTTCCTCCTTCTGCAATAAGTTCCGCTTGCAAGGTGTCTTTAGTGGTAACCTTCTTTTGCATCTCGAGGTCGAATATGTCGTCAATATGATCTCCAATTCTACTTTCCAGTCCATCTCACCTGGTCTGGACATAACGCGACAGTTTATACCCAGATTCAAGAGAATTATTTGGACCTCTGTGAGCTTGATTCCAGCAAAGTTTAAGAAGTTATCTCTGGGTCGAGGAATGGCCATAGGTCCTTCAAATAATGTTGTCAGTTTCTTGATGATCCTGGTTTCGGTGCTGTGGAGATGTTGATCTGTAAGGATGTCGAGGTGTTGGTCGATTCGAGTACGGAGGTCTTCGTCGATGTTGGTGTGTCTCCACTGTTCTGTGGCATGAAGTAGTGGTGCTTTGCTATCGTTTATCTAATTTTCTGCTTTGCGTATTTCATTTCAAATCAGATCTTGGCGATATTTTATCGTGAAAGATTGCTTTCTTGCTGCTGGGTCGTGCATTTCAATATTAGTATATTTTGGTAGCAGTTTTTCTTGTAAACATCTGTTGTTGAATATGACCGAAAGGTTAAGATTAATGATTCTAACACGAATCTTCTCAATAATTCTAACGTTTTTGTTCACTGTCGGGGGTAATTGAAAAATTAACTCTCCAAGGTTGATTTTCTCATTTTTTTATTGATAATTTGACTCCTCATTTTCTCATTTTTTTATTGATAATTTGACTCCTAAAAGCGTTTCGCAAGGACGTCTCACGTTTTCAAAGACATGTTTACACATACCATTACATGCTTATATTCGTTTTGGGTGAGGTGATATGACAAATGTTTTTGGGTGAGGTGACAAAAGCCATAAAGCGAATCAATGGGTATATATTGCATATAAGAACATAAGAATGAAATTAACTACAGAAGGTCTATTGGCCCATATTTTCTTTTGCTGCTTCTATGTTGGTTGGGGTCTTGAAGTGGGTAGAATATAGTTATGTATTAATTGACTGTTGATTGCTGGTGTTGACTTTTTGATGTGTAGGGTCTCGCTGATGTCAAGTCTCCTGCAATATCTAACTGTATCTAACCCCCTCCTATCTAACCTAACTCCTGCTGTATCTAACCCACTCTTCCCCATCTTCTTGATCCCTCCCTTCGTCTTCCCCAACGTTTACTCTGTCATCCCCTGTTTACCCCATCATCACCTTTCATCAGACTATTAGTTATTAAGAATCACTGAAAGAACTGTATGGGTGTCTTAGAAAATAGTTTCTTGTGATCACTTCAAAGTAGAAAGGAATCACACCAAATATTTCGTAATTATGACCGTGAAAATTACAGGTGAGGGATCTCTGATTTAGATAATATTTAGTAAAGCATTTAATTTGGGCTAATCCAAACTAGCCTATGTATGTCCCGTTCCCCAGGCCATTATCGTTGCAAACTTCAGTGAGGTTAGCCTCATGCATCTGTCCTCCAACTTTACACAGAGAGACTTTCTCTTATAGTATAGATATATACATCAGTCACTGCAGGCTTATCCATGATTAACTGTGATTCTAATTGAAATGTAGATACCTTTTACTCATTGCTGAAACAATTGGACTTCCCTTTTGACCTGCCATAGCAAGCATCATAGGCAGAAACTCCTCTCTTGACTGGTAGAATGAACACTGCCCTATGAAGGATCAAAAAGAGCTTTCAAAGAGTTATATAAGAAATTTTACAATTCTAACAATAGATACATAAAGTGATCTCTTTCAGTTCACATATAATAAATCAGATTACATTTGATGTTATATAATACCTGATACCGTAAAATCACGTGACATGAAAATCTTTAAGCCAAAGTCGACTTCCACGAGAACGTGGTCTCCTTTCCTCACCAAGGTGTCCATGCTCTCTGGGAACTCTGGTAGCGTTCTGTACACCAGGCGACCTTTCTCCTCCAAACCAGCAAACTCATGGTAAATTCCAGAGTCCACTTCCTGAAATAACGGATCAGTCAAGCTCCTTTTATTCTAAACTGTCTTATCATCTTCATGTACCGCATCTCAACTTTCCTAGATAAGCAATGTAACTACAACTTGCAATGTTGACATATTGTAATACAAAACAAAATTTATTATCGAATGCTAATGATAGATAAGTTCCAGAATATTCACATACAGTACATAATCCATGTGAGTTCTTATAAAAATGTGACAATTTTTGAATTCTTTGTAGACTTAATGCAAGTTGTCGTAGCACTACAAAAATATTCTCGAAAGCTCAGTTATTTTGGATTTATTTAATCACGTTTATTAATACAAAATATATTTGAGTTAATAAATGATGTCGGCTATGGTAATTTTCCTATTACACAAACATATTGTTGACCAAACCACACACTAGAAATTGAAGGGACGACGACGTTTCGGTCCGTCGTGGACCATTCTCAAGTCGATTGTAATCGACTTGAGAATGGTTCAGGAAGGACCGAAACGTCGTCGTCCCTTCACTTTCTAGAATGTGGTTTGGTCAACATATTTCAGCCACATTATTGTGACAAACTTATTATCGGTAAACGAAAATATAATTTCATACATGCATATACTGCACATTAGAAGAGTCTTTCTCCCATATAGAGATCACTGATCTGTCATCCAACACGTCCTGGAGGGACTGGATGGGCTGAGGAAGGTTTCTGACAGCCAGGAGAGCCATGAGGTTGCCGGCGTAGCTCTGCGTCAACACCACCGTCACCAGCCCCCACACTGCCAACACCACTCGCTCCCAACTCCACTTCACGGGAGATTCAAATACATCTATGAGAGGAATATTTAATAATAATTATTAGCATATCGTTTGCGTTGCATATGCAGCATCCACGTTCAAAAAACGTTTTCCATCCAACAAATAAATTCTGTTTATTAAGAGTAAATTAAAGCAATGGTGAAAAATTGCTTGTTCTCTCATAATATTCCTTTATGTAAAGTTTATAAAATTCTATGCCTGAAAACGCCCACCAGAAAAATAATCAAAATAACTGAAGCACAACTGTATCCTGAGAAGCTATAAAAAAACAACCGAGAAGAACCGCTGTGTGATTATCTGAACCCGGGAGGAGGGTCTTTTTTTTAAATATCAATAATTTTCAGTAGTTCGTTGGCATATCTTCCAGAATCATCCTAGATGAGGGACCCAATCTGAAGGCAAGTTCGGTATCATATTATTCAGTATAGATCACAAATTCAATTTAAGGCTTTCAGGGCTACGTATTCGTTGCCTTCTTGGATGTATGTTGGTTGTAGTTATACACAGTAGACACTTCAGTAGATTTGTTGAGTGAGGCAACAAAGTGTATAACTGGTCAGCCGAGGTCCAACCTGCTCTGGGTCTGTGAGAATACTGAGGCCTGCTGAAGCGCAGCTGGTGCCGCTCTGTCTGGCATGACGTCAGAGGCCTACTCGCCTGTGATTGGTTATGTTTCAACCGTCATACAATTTGAGTATTAACATACGGAATGATTGTTGTCAAATGTATTTACATATACAGACGATGAGTTACAATAACGTGGCTGAAGATAAGGACCTAGATTCACGAAGCTCCATGTATTTCTTCATAAGTATATGTGCCACGAAGGTTCCTAAGTACCAGCTAAGAACACGCCAAAGAGCAATTCAGAAAAGTGCATGGAACACGCCAAAGCGCAATTCAGAACAGTGTATGTACGAAGATTTTTAAGTACAGTACATTAGTTCACTTAGGTCTCATTAGATGTCACTAGGGCTTTTAGTTTGGCCAATCAAAGAGAAGGTAACATTTTTCATATTACAGCTTTAACCAATCACGACACTGGCATATCGGAGCTTATCCGTGATGCACTTGCCATTTATTTACGTCGAATTTTCTTATAAAATTTGTATAGTTCGAAGTAAAACTATGTTTTTTCAACTTGTACAGTCAGCACCGACATTGTAGTAAACAAATAAGTTATATTTTTTGTTTACCTGCGTAATTCTAAGAAATAGTGTATTGCCCTCCTTGTTGCTCCCAAGATTTGAGAAGCGATGGTATTTATTTATATATATATTAACCTAAATTTACCCAAATGCCACTAACAATATAGTGGCCTCGATGAAGACAAAAACCGGTGGTTTGTTAAGTTCCGCCAATTGTCCTAATTCTAGCTGGATTTTGGCATGTACAGCTTCAGCGGGTAGGCTGTTCCATGGTTTTATAACCCTCTGGGTGAAAAAAAATCAGTTTTCAGTCCTACTTGAGAGGACATACTCTCTAACACTATATTTGTGAGTGCCTTGTTATCAGTGACTTCAGACCAAATGGTATGAGGTATTTTGAGCTCTGTAATTACTTCATACATTCAGGAATATTGGAAGATATTCTTGTGCTGCACCCAGATTTTGCTAGTGGAGGCCTTATATTTCCTTTTCTCTCCCGATTCCATGTATGACTGGCCGTCCTGTGAGGTGGGATGTTGGATGAGCTTGTAACGTACGATTATGATACGTTGTTGGGTTGATTAGATACACAGTGTTTAGTGAGTTTCATATTTATTTAGTAGTCCTGAATACAGCAGTGTCGTAGACGTCGAGATGAAGCCTGGAGCAGACCAGAGAGCTGAGTGAGGCCAGAGTCGGGGAGCTCTATGCGGGAGAGCGTGGCGGCTCGATTGGGAATTGCGAGTGTCTGAACTTGGGGAGCGAGAACGTTATAGCTGGATGCGGTCGTAGTCTGCTGTCTGCTTAGAAAAATGTGCATGATTGTTTTTTTTTTTTTGGGCTCGGGCATTTATTATTTTCTACCACAGACGTGGCCACACATTTACAATGCTAACCAGCATATATACATTTTCTTCTGTCCTCCATGGACAGGGTTAGAGAAGTGTTAAACATACAGTTCAAGGGTTTATTGAACACTCAACCACAGAAGGTGATTCGGTGCTTTTAAAATGCTAAGCTAACCTACATACGTAAATACATAGATACACAGATTTACGTATGCCCTACATAAAGTATTAGATGTGTCTTTTACATAGTGTCATTAATGTACATTCACAAAGGTGAAATGTAATTCTGATCAGCTTCCATATATGCTTTATACCCATACATATACATACACACACACACATACACATACATATATACACACACACATGCATTCACATACATTTGTCTCATTTACCCTGACAGGGTGAGGTAGCTGATAAAGAAACTAGTGTGCAATTAAGCACTTAATCACTGAAGGTGATGAAGGTGCTTTTACAAGCTCAGGTTATATAGTTACATCACATACATACATTGTATGATTGATACATTACATGGTCAATTTTGGATACAAGTCCAATATATCATCAAGTGTTCCAGTACTCATATAGTAACTACAGAGTTCAGCATACCTTAGCCCAGGAGGGCGAAAGTCAGTCAGTATTGGACACTCTACAATATAATGTTCAAGAGAGTGCATGTTTTCTCTTTCACAAAGTTGACACATTGTGTACTCGACATTTGGGTTTTGAGAAAGCTGCCAGATACGTCTATATCCCAGGCGTATTCTGGCCACTATAACATCACATTGCCGGGTTCTTGTTCTATTAGTCCCATATGTGAATGTCTCCTCACGATATCTATCATAATATTTAATGCTACAACTTTCAGGTCTTTGAGAATTTGTTAGGTCGGTGAGATTTTCATTAGATATTTGTTTAAGTATTCTCTTTGTCACTGCTAATGAAACACCCATATCAATTTCTACCACTGGTTTTCTGCAGGCTGACTTAGCAAGCATATCAACAGTGTCATGCCTTGAGATGCCAACATGTGATGGTATCCATAGGAATTTAATCTCAAATCTGTTTTCTTTGGCAGCTAAAACATTCATTCGAATATCACTGACTATTTTCTGGGTGTCACTACTATGTGCGTTCAATGCCAGGAGTGCACTCTGCGAGTCACAGTATATAAGTCCACTGCCTTTGTCTTTTAAAAATTCAGTGGCAAGGTATATGCCTGCAAGTTCGGTTTGAGTTGTACTTGCCCAGTCATTGACGCGCTTCATTGCTGTATGTACGAGAGAAGATTGTTCAAATATGTTACATGCACATCCGGTACATCGTCCACCTTCTTCTACAGAGCCGTCGGTATAGCACTGATAAACATCGTTACCCATACTCTGAGTACTTTCAGTGATGCTTTTCAGTGTTAACTGTTTTAATAATGTAGTGTGCACACTATCTTTCTTGGGCGCATTTACAAAATCAACTGATAGATCCCAGTTATCCCATGGAGTAATTGGCTGATTAATCATTAGTCGAGTTGGGTACATATTTAATATTTTGATGGAGTTGGCTACCTTGTAGAACCAATATACATAATCAGATTTCGTTCTTCTTCTATAGACCTCAGGTGAGTGTAGCATATTAGAAAGTTTAGCTTGAAACTTCATGTGTTGTCTAGATCTACTCAATGCCTTCACGCCGAAAACTGTGCTAATAGACAAGATTCTCTCACTTATGGTAGGTAATTTTAACTCTGCTCTCATGTTAACTATTCTCGTGGACTTTGGAGCCCCAAGGATGAGACGCATAGCTTCATTTTGCAAGGTTTCAAGAGATTTCAGCTCTTTGTCAGTATACAGTGTGAGATGTAGAGCATTGTAGTCAATCACAGAGCGTATAAATGATACATAAAACATTCTAGCAAGTCTCACGTTAAGCCCATGATTGACACCAACAAGGACCCGCAAGGGCTTTAATCTCTCCCAAAGTCTCCTCTTGAGAGAAGAAAGGTACCCAGGGTCGTTAATGGGGACACCAAGGTATCTGTAAGACTCGCAGTTCTCAAGTGCTCGCCCATCTATATGATAATTGGGTGGTGGAATACCACATGGAATGAGGGCACGAGTTTTCTGTACAGAGATAAGGAGGCCACATTCCTCAGCTCTAGTAGCAAAAGCGTCGAGCAGAACTTGCATTCTAGGCTCGGTGGCAGCCTGTAAACATATATCATCAGCATAACAAATGACAGTGTCTTCATTATTAGTTGGAAGATCTTTAATAAGTTTATGCATCAGAACGTTGAACAACAAGGGACTGAGGACCCCTCCTTGTGGAGTTCCCAGTTCAAAGTGTTTGCTCTCTGTGCTTTTAACACCATTAAACAAAACATATGCTGTTCGATTAGACAAATAGCCCTTTATCCATTTCAGTAATTTTCCTTGTATTCCCAGCTCGGCAAGCTGTTCCAGTATGATTTCTCTGTTTGCTGTATCAAAAGCTGCTGCTAGGTCGATGAAGACTGTTTGGGGGGAAGCTTCAATATGTGCGAAGTACTCAGCAAAACAGTGTTGTGTACTGAGCCCAGGCATAAATCCAAACAGTTGGGGTGACAGGTGCCCCTGTATACGATACATGAGTCGGTTTAGAACAATACGTTCAAGCACTTTACAAACACACGATGTTAAAGATATGGGTCTATAATTATCTGAGTGTGGTTTGGGGATGGGAACAATGACACTCTTTGTCCAAGCATCAGGTAATACTCCTTCACGTAAACTCATTCTGTACAACACTAATAGTGGATTTCCTGGTACGTGTGAGACTAATCTCAGTAGACTGTAAGTAATACCGTCCTCTCCAGGAGCAGTTGATTTTCCCATCTTTAGTGCATGATTTAATTCCCATTCAGTTACATCATTAAGGTCCGACACGTCGATAGCTGTACAGGCAAGATTGATGGTTCGTTGTCTGTTGGGGCGTGTGTCATCAAGTTTGTGCTGTATGTTAATTGGGAGTGAGTCGTAGCTCGATGTTATTGCCCATTGATCAAGGAGGATGTTTGCTTGTTCTAGTGGGCTGTGGTGCAGCGGTTTGGTTGGGCTGCTTCTAGAGATTTTTCGTATCTTTTCCCAAACTTCAACAAGTGTTGTTTGCTCATTTATACTTTGTAGGAACTCTTCCCAATGTTTATTACGTATAACGTTGCTCATGTCTCTCACCTCTCTATTTGCAACTAGAAATGCATGCAAGTCACCTTGTGCTTTGGTTCGTTTGTACGCATCTCCAAGTTGCTTTACTCGTTCATGTTCTTTAACAAATACGGGGTCAAGGACCCACTTGGGTGGTGGTAGGTGTTGCCCACTTCTGCTAGGCTTACGACCTGTTCCCCAACACACCCATGTGTCATAGTAGGTAGTAATCGTATCAACGAGATCTCTGGAGAAGGCTTGTACATTCGTTATTGTGTAATCTTGATACCATTTTGATATACAATTAATAAAGTGGTCATGCAAGCCATATGGAATATTCATTTTCCGTCTCTGATGTCTATTAGGTACATCACACTGTACCTCATAGGAAGCAGAAACTGCATAGTGATCACTAACTAAGTGATTTACCAACGAACATTCCATCCTATCTTGCACAAGGTTTCTACCCATTACATAATCAAGTCTGCCTCCCAATAAATGAGTTTGGGTATCCGTAGTATACACGGTTAATCTGTTGTCATAAACATATTTGATAAATTTGCATCCATTATCGTTGTTAGTACTGTCTCCCAGCGTAATATGTCTAGCATTAAAATCTCCCATGTATATTGTCCCATGATTGTCTAGATCTGGGAACAATGTTACATTGAGTTTCTGGCTTCTGGCATATACGTTGAGGAATGAAAAGTGGCCTGCTGTAGTTTGTACATGAAAGTGATGGTACTGTGTGTGTACATTGTGTGACGTGCTCACAAGAATGTGCGGTAAATCACTTCTGACGTAAGTTAATAGGCCTGTGGCGTTACTGTTATTATAGGATGCATACCCTCTGATTTTTGGTGGGGTTTTGTTTATCATGTTGGACGTGTAGGGCTCCTGTAAAGCAATTATATCTATGTTGTTACTGGTAACATATGCAATTAGGTCATTCAGTCTTTTGTTGATGCTACGAATGTTCCAACTGAGAAACCTAATGGTCCTTGTGTCAACAGCAGCCATCGTCTTGGTGTTGTTCCTCCCTGGGACTGGTGGTCCCATTGTTGTCCTTGTCCCACTTACACAATGTGTCAATAAGTGACTCTACGACGTAAAGAGCCACACCAACCTGGCGTTTGGTGTCGTCAGGAACATCTGGTGACATCATCAGATTCTTGATCACTGAGCAACTCGGGATGGTCCGCGAGTGAATGCTCTCTGTAAGTCGCATGGCATAATTACTGTCACGCAGAATATTATCTTTTTCATTCTCGTACTTGGCTTGAGCGCGTTCCTTAAGGTCATGAATCATTTTAAAATAAGTTGATGCAGATCGACTTCCTTTTCCAGTTAATGTTTCTGTGTCACTATTACTGCTGTCATCCCTGAGTTGACTGACGACGTCGCTGCCACCGCCTCTGTTGTCGCCGCTGTTGTCGCCGCTGCTGCTGCTGCTGCCGCCGCCGCCGCCGCTGCTGCTGCTGCTGCTGCCGCCGCCGCTGCTGCCGCCGCCGCTGCTGCTGCTGCTGCCGCCGCCGCCGCCGCTGCTGCTGCCGCCGCCGCTGCTGCTGCCGCCGCCGCTGCTGCTGCTGCTGCCGCCGCCGCTGCTGCTGCTTCCGCCGCCGCCGCCGCTGCTGCTGCCGCCGCCGCTGCTGCTGCTGCCGCCGCCGCTGCTGCTGCTGCTGCTGCTGCTGCCGCCGCCGCCGCCGTCACCACCACCACCACAGGAACCTTTACCAGCGCGGGCCACGGCTGTGACACAGCTGCATAGAGGCTGCTGTATCTCTTGTGGAGGAGCCTGACGTAGCGCCTGTATAATTTCAGTCAGTTCAGCTACCTGTGCTTGCAAGGTTGCCAACTGTTCTTTAACTGTTGTATCAGGCTGTTGTGTGTTGTCAGGGGCGTTGCTGGTACTGTCACCACTATGGGATGGGTCAACAGTACTAGAGCCGGCATCAGTAGGCACTTGTTGTGTCTCGGGCACTTGTCTACTTATGCCAAGGGAGGCTGGCCGTTTGGTACAATCTGAGTGGCAGATGGTGCAGTGAACGTGTAGATGAATTTGATGATAGAGCAGCTGTCGTGGGCGTCCCTGTAGAACAAGCAGTGCCCTGGCACCGACGGAGAGTCGCTGTAGGACAGGCTGTAGATCCCACATGATGTAGTTGCTGATGAAACTGTCAGATGAGTAACACTCGCTGTGCAGCAACCTGTAGTTGATGAAAATGACGGGACGATCGCAGTGAAAATCATAGCTGTGGCGAGGGTGTTGGCAGCGTTCCGTGACAGGTGGCACGAGGTGGTCCACAGTAAGCAACAGCAGGAGTGAAGGTCCAGTGAGAATCCATGTTGTAGTCCATCGTGGTTGGGTATCGTCGAAACTCTCTGGGGTCACCAATGCAATGTACGATTATGTTACGTTGTTGGGTTGATTAGATACACAGTGTTTAGTGAGTTTCATATTTATTTAGTAGTCCTGGATACAGCAGTGTCGTAGACGTTGAGATGAAGCCTGGAGCAGAGCAGAGAGTTGAGTGAGGCCGGAGTCGGGGAGCTGTATGCGGGAGAGCGTGACTGCTCGATTGGGAATTGCGAGTGTTTGAACTCGGGGAGCGAGAGCGTTATAGCTGGATGCGGTCGTAGTCTGCTGTCTGCTCTGTGTCGAAGCTGTAGCGTCTTGGGTCGATTAGAACTGCCCACGCCGAGTACTACATTCTTGACTGGAGATTGTACTGGTTTGCTATTCTCAAATCGCTTGCTTAAATACGGTGACTACACCGCACAGTAAGATAGGAGGGTGGAAAAACCGTTTCCAGTAAATAGGGATAGGATTATAGCTTGTGCAATTCGTTATGCCATTAAGATGGCATAACGAATTGGGCGAGTTAACGAATAGGGCGCCCAACAATTTCATTGTTGGGCGAGTTAGGAGTGAGGAACTAATATGTTGGGCGAGTTAGGAGTGAGGAACTAATACAGAGATTTAGGACAGCCATTGAATTAGTTAGGAGCAAGGGAGGAATCCCGATCATATGTGGCATTCTTCCAAGAAAGGTAGTGGGAAATGAATGGATGTCGAGGGCATTTGGTGTCAATTGCCGGCTGGAAAGATATTGCAAATCAAATGCAATATCTTTCATAGACAACTGGGAACGCTTCTATGGAAGAAATGAAATGTATGCTCGTGATGGGGTGCATCTATCGAGGGCTGGGGTTGTTGCTGTTGCGAACTCGTTGGAACCAGTGGTTAGAGGTGTTTGTTTGGGTTTAAACTGTTAGTAGATAGTGGTATGGGAATTGATTTGGAGGAAGGAGGTAATAAAAGTATGTGTTTGTGGGAGAAAAGAATTGGCAAAATGATCAGGGAAAGAAAAGGGCCTCAAAATAACAATTCACTTAGGATATATTACACTAACAGTAGAAGTCTAAGAAATAAAATTAATGAATTAAATGCTCTTGTCTGCACAGAAAAAATAGATATTATTGCACTTACCGAAACGTGGATGAACGTAGAAAATAGAGAACTATTAGCCGAATATCAGATAAATGGATTTAAACTATTTCACACAGATAGATATATTAGACGAGGAGGGGGAGTAGCCATATATGTTAGGGACAATTTGAAATGTAGTCTCAAAGAGGGAATCAAAACTGAGCCACACACAGAAACTATTTGGATAGAATTAAACGAAAAAGCAAATAATATTATAATAGGAATTATATATAGGCCACCAAATTTAGATAGAATAGAAGCAAAGCATCTATGGAATGAAATATCTAGAGCATCTAGATCTAACAGTATTTATGTCATGGGTGACTTTAATTTTAGTGGAATAAACTGGGTGAACAAAACAGGGAATAGTGAAGCAGAAGATTTTCTAGAATTAATTGACGATTGCTTTCTTATGCAACACATTAAGGAACCAACGCGGGAAAATAATACTTTAGATTTAGTGTTAACTAACAGGGAAACACAAATTAATGACATCGAAATAGGGAGTGAGCTAGGGAACAGTGATCACAAAGTAATCAGATTTAGCATAGAATGGAATAGACTTGTAGGAGAAAATTCTGTTAAAGTGCCAGATTTTCGAAAAGCTGATTTTAATAGCCTAAGAAATTTTTTGGGTCAAATAGATTGGAAACTCTTGGGTATGGGGTGTGGGCCGGTCTTGGAGCGAGACATGAACCCAGCAATAGGTGACGTAAAAGGGGATTTCGATGTGGATTCAATATATAACTTATTTAAGAATATTCTAAACAAAGCACAGGAATGTAGTATACCATACAAATTGAATAGGTCGAATACTAATGACCCAAAGTGGATAACAAATAATTTAAAGAACCTTATAGGTAAAAAGAGAGCTTGGTACAAAAGGATTAAGAATGGGGAAGTCAGGTTAGAACAGGAATTCATACAACTGGTTAGAAATGTTAAAAAAGAGATTAGGAAAGCAAAAAGAAACTATGAAGTTCGCATAGCAGAGCAAGCAAAGTCAAATCCTAAAGGTTTTTTTCAGTTATATCGAACTAAGACTAGGGAAAGGATAGGTCCATTAAAATCTGAGACAGGTCAAATAACGGATAATGACAAGGAGATGAGTAGTATTTTTAACAAATATTTTATATCTGTATTTACTAAAGAAGAACTTAACAATATGCCTTCAGCCGAACAAGTCTATATGGGTGGGGATGAGGACAGGTTGACTAGTTTAGCAGTTACCAGTGTTATGATCTCAGCCTGCAGGAGAAACGAGTCTCCCTCCTTGAGAGTTATTCAGCAAGCCTGACCTGATTAGAAGGTCTAGCATATATTGAGGTGATAACCCATATGTAAAATAGTTGCTTGGAGATGTATAACAATTTAAGATTATGGGCAGTAAGTAAGGAAATAGATAAATGACTGTCTAGGAGATGTGGACATTTTGCTGGAGGCGTGAGGCTCGCTTCCGGAGGACCTTGACCTCACTTGAGTGCCAGACATCGCAGGGGAAAGCTGCGCTCCGTTGAGCTCCCGTCAGAAGGGAACCCCTAGTGATATATCTCGAAGAGAAGAGAAGTGTGCAGACGTACCAGCTGTGGAATCGAGCTGGGGACGTGTGGTCTCAAGTCGTGGGCGATAATTAGTGAATATTAAGCCGCCCGGAGGCATTATTGTGGGCCGTGGAGCGCCCTGACCAAGCCTCGTCAGAGGAAGAAGCGCCCTCGACCAGACGATCTGTGGTTTGTTCTTTGGGGAAGAAGTTGCTGAGAACTTCGAAGCCAGCAGATGAAGTAGCTGATGAGACTCCAAGGTAGTGGAGCAGAGGACCTCGAGCTGTGAGGAGAAGCAGCAGTGAAGAGGAGTGTCACGTGCTTCTGTAGAGGTGGAGAAGCACCATAGTTGCTCGAGGAAACTTCATGGTGTAGCAGCCAAGAGAGCTGTGGAGGAACCTAGCAGAAGGGTGAAGCACCGTAGTTGCTCAAGGAAACTTCATGATAGCAGCCTGGAGGAGCTGCAGAGGATCCTGGTAGTGAAGCCCGGAAGAACCTAAAGATATTAGGGTAGTGAACTTCCAGAGGTGGAAGGGGAAGTTCTGGTGGATTACTTGTAGGGAGTTGATAGTGTTTGGTTGTCATTAGTGTGCAAGACGCAGTGAGAGGTGAGTGACTGTTTGCATTCTTATGTCAAGGAGTGTTTTACGCTGAAGTTTAGAGTTACAGTCGTAGGCTGGATTACCTACAGATGTATGCGTTCCAGGACTGACAGTGATCGATTGATCATTGTTGTGTATCAATGAACATTTATACTGATATATGTTATCGCATTCAAATGCTGATTTTCTATATATATATATTATCTTGCTGATGGTGCAACGGTGTATGTAGACTTGATCAACTTGAGGTGGTTGATAGTATCAGGTGGTGAACCAGGAGATAGGATACCACTTGATAAGCTGATAATAGAGTTCTGATGGTGTTGGAGTGCAACCTGATTGTAATATTATAGAGTATAGGATTCATTATTATTATGTGTGTGTATGTATCGTGTATGTGCTTTGTCCAGTAAATGTATCCCAATTTGCTGGTGTTTGCCCTTGTCCTAGTGAGGCTTCCCAGGAGGTAGGAAAGAAGGAGAGAGAGAGAGAAAGAACCAAGAACCGCTGCTGTGGACAGGGTAGGAGGTAATACTAATAAGCCAAAAGGGGATCGAGGAGATCATATTACCTGAGGAGAGAGTGGGGAGTCACTGCGGCTCGAGTGGGTGTGTGCACGTGACAACGAGGCTAAGTGTTGGAGCCGCATCCCCTAAACGTGTGACGTTGAGCCCCTCTCCAAAAGCCAGAAGCGCCAAGGGTGATCTCCTAGTATAAGCACTCTACCGAGTTGTGTGGGTTGGGTTGTCCATAGAGAAGAATCAACGACAACACAACCAACCCACAGTCTATAATACCAGGGAGGATGTAATTAAACAATTAGAAAAACTAAAACCAAACAAATCCCCAGGGCCGGATGAAGTGTTTGCCAGGGTGCTTAAAGAATGCAAAGAGGAGCTACCCGAGCCACTGTCTACCATATTTAATAAATCAATAGAGTCAGGCAGAGTGCCAGAGTCATGGAAGGTAGCTAATGTGGTACCAATTTTTAAGAAAGGAGATAGATCACTTGCGTCAAACTATCGGCCAATTAGCCTAACGTCTATTGTGGGAAAGTTACTTGAATCAATAATTGCAAATACAATTCGTCTCTATCTTGAAAAACATAAATTAATAAATGAGTCGCAACATGGTTTTACAAATGGCCGTTCATGTTTAACAAATTTGCTAACTTTTTATTCCAGCATAGTTAAGGCAGTTGATAGTGGTAAGGATTGTGATGTTGTGTACCTTGACTTTAGCAAAGCTTTTGATACAGTGCCACATGAAAGACTAATTAAAAAAATAGAAGCTCATGGTATTGGGGGTGCTATATTAAGCTGGATTAAGGCATGGCTATACCAAAGGAAACAAAGAGTTAGTATAAATGGAATCAAGTCGGAGTGGGAAAATGTTGTAAGTTGAGTGCCTCAAGGCTCTGTCCTGGGACCTTTGCTGTTTATAATATATATAAATGATTTAGATTCAGGTTTGAGTAGCATCATTTGCAAATTTGCCGATGATACGAAAATCGGTAGGGAAATTAATTCGGAGGAGGACTCACTATTACTTCAAGTTGATCTAGATAGGGTTTTGAAATGGTCAAAGGATTGGCAAATGCAGTTTAATGCTGATAAATGTAAAGTTCTGAGGCTAGGTAATGATGATAGAGTTACAAGATACGAGCTAGATGGTGTTGAGATTGCGAAGTCGAAGCTTGGTGCTTTCTTTTGTCTTTGAAAGTCTTATAGTCTTGGTGCCTTAGTCTTTCGTGTGGAATTATTTCAAACGTTTGCAAATGTCAAGGTACACAACGTTACCCCAGAGGGAATGCCGACAGTTGAAATCACCCAATACGAGCATAGGCTCTGGTAAGGAGTCCAACAGGTGCTTAACATCAGAAGGAGAAAGTGGGACATTTGGGGGAAGATAAATGGAACAGACTTGTACTATTTACTCACAAAGATACAGGCTGCAGAACATTGGATGGGTGACTGAAGAAGGAGGGGGACGAAGGGAGTATCAATGCGAATCAAGAGAGCAGTAGAGTTATGGGCCCCAGCCAAGGCTGGAGGTGAGGGGGGAGAGGTAGAAGGGAATAACAACGTAAGCGACCAGGACGAGCCACAAGCATCGGTTCCTGGAGACAGACACAAAGAGGTGAAAACTTTGTTATCAGAAGTTGTAGTTCATGGAGGTTTGCATAAAATCCACGAATATTCCATTGAAGAACAGACATTGTCAAAAATAGATATAACAAAAACAGAGAACCAGGAAGAAACAAAAGCAAAGAAGAACACAGTATACTAGGTAGGATCAGCATCAGTGAAATCGGGGTTAGGGGGGCATAGGTAACTCTAGCAAGGACAATGGAGTCAAGGGAGTGGGAGGACGGATCAGAGGTAGACGGACAGAGTCTGGAGTGGGAGGGGGCATTGGATTGGAGCGGTCAATGGAATCAGGGGTAGGGGAAGGGCAGAAACGGGGAAGTGTTCCTCACCAAGGGCAGTAATCGATAGAGAATCGAGGACAAAGGGAACCTCCATAGCTGGGACAGGGGACTCGACCACCGAAATTGGAGGGGGATGCAGGGATTGAATTGGAGTCAGAAAGTGAGGATGAAAGTGATATATTCTTACCTGCTAGGGAGGAAGAAGGAGAGGAGCCAAGCTTACGTTTCTGACTTAGAGAGACAAATGTGCCAGCAATAATGAACTGGTCGACAGTCTCCATAGTCTCAAGAGGAGAAAGAGTACGGGGAGCGATCAACATGAAGATTGCTAGGAGGAGGATTAACAACAGCCTGGACAGACAGGTAGCATGGAGGGCCAAAGACAGGTGAAGGGTGAGAAGAAGGATCGGAGGAGAAGGGAAAGAGGACATAGTAGATAGTGGCAGAACGGTAAGGAAGGAAATCCCAGACGGAGAACCATGAGGATGACCTTCTGGTTCAGAATGTAAAGGAGCAGGTGAGGTGGTGGTGGTGTGTCCGGGACCAAAGCTAGGAAGCGGTTGAGAGACTGAGAAAGGAGGGGAGGGCTAGAAGAGTTAGAACGTAACACACGAGCATAAGACACACCAACGCTAGAGGAAAGACGGCGGACTTGGCGTCTCGCCTCAGGAAAAGATAAACGATCGTGGTGCTTCAAATTGATGATGGTTTTCTCAAATTTGTAGTGCACATACACGCGGGAGAAGATAGAAGAGTACTTCTACTTGAGTGACCCAAGTCCCCACACAAGGGGCATAGAGACGCTGCACTTATGCAAATGAGGGCAGCATGCCCAAATTTCCAGCACCTATTGCAAAGTCTAGGAGAGGAAGTGTACTCCTGAACGGAGCATCTGGCACCAGCAAGAATAATAGAAGGCAGAAGGGTCCTACTATCACAGGTGATCATCAAAACTCGAAGAGGCTGATGACGACGATCACGAGGGGGTCGAGTGAACCTATCAACCTAGAGGACAGAATGGACTTGGGCTTAATCTCGACTGCCTCGAGGCAGTCTTTCATGTCCCTAACACCAGTTGCAACATGGTAGGGAAGGATAACAGTACCAATACTGGCATTTAACTGGGCATTTTTAGAGATGCTAACAGGGGTTTTTCCACCAATGCTGGACGAAGCAGCTAAGCGGGAAGCTGCTGCCTGAGAAGGAGCAGCAACGACACATGTATCAGCATGGGTGGGGTTAAAAGTAACAGAGGTATCCACCGAATCAACGAGGCGTTTATAGAGGAAGAAATCAACAGGCCATATAGAATCCAGATGGTTGAGACCAAAGTATCCAGTCCACATAGCAGGACAAACAAGGCATGGAACGTATTAGCACAAGAGGGAATCGTACAAGTCCGTTGGTGTGTGGGGTCGGCACCGAGCACCCCCAGTAAGTGGCTCCTTCTCATCACAATGAGAGAAGGAGCCACTCCGGGTGATGAGGTGGTCATCACTGGGGACCTGGGGGTTCAACGCTACCACAGAGGAGGGGGAGAGGGTAGTTGGGAGGGTCAAAGGAGTAGCTTGGTCTGGGCCCAATGTAGCAGGGGTTACAGAGCCTGGTCTTCCAACACAGTCCAACTTGGGGGCCTTGATCGCGCACCCCGCTGGTCTGCAAAGTTAAAAGAGGATCATTCAGTAGCATGGAAATGAGCAGGTAATAATTAATTCACGAATGACGTGAATTAAAATTCTTCTGACAAGTGAGCTGACAGTCACTTCTCGACTGTCAGTTCCGGTTCTCATCATCCTCACTCTCTCCTTATTCGTAAGCTCATTTTTGACTCTCATCTCTTAAATTTTTGCACTCATCTCTGGTTTCCCTATAATGATCCCTTCTCTTTCTCTCTCTCTCTCCGAACTTCAGTCTGCTCTGGCCCTCTGTGGCTCAATGGTTGTGGGCTCAGATGACATTCTTTATGAGACGCGTTGTCATCTCCCTACATGCGTGTTTCAGTATTTTCTGAATCTATATAATCATATCTGGGAGTCGTCAGTCCCTGAAGACTGACTCGAGGCAGTGGCTCTTCCTATTCGGAAACCGGGGTCTCTGGGGACACCCCCTAAAGACTTCCGCCCCATTGCCCCTCAAGGTTGCATCTGCAAAATCTTTGAACATATTGTCAATATCCGTCTGATGTGGTTCTTGGAACCACATCAAATGGATATTGACGGGATAGTATTCCATTCAGTTGGAATACTATCAGTATTCCATTCAGTTGCAATACTATCACCACCTCTCCCTTTCTCAATTTGTATTTTGCAAGTGTCGCAGCACGACTGATGTTTTGGTGAACATGAAGGTCTATGTTTGTATTACTTTTGTTGAGAAGACCTCCATTGTTGCTGTCTTTTTTGACCTGGAAAAGGCATACGACACCACCTGGAGAAATCATATTCTGTCCCAATTCCGTTCTTTTGGCTATTGTGGTGATCTCCCTCTCTTCCTCCAAAGATTCCTCTCTTGTCGTTCCTTTAAAGTGGGGCTTGGTACCGCTTTCTCTGCCTCTTTTCGGCAATACGAAGGTGTGGCCCAAGGTAGTTTTCTGAACATTACTCTTTTTCTGGTTGACCTCAATGATCTTCTTTCCTCCCTTCTCTCCGGCATCTTCACAGCGCTCTATGTCAACGATCTCACCCTCTACTGTCGAGGTGATGACTCGCTTTTACTTCAATGAAGCCTTCAACTTACGATTGATGCCGTGTCGTCTTAGGGCACCAATCATGGCTTCAAGTCCTCTACATCTAAAACTTGTGCAATGATTTTTACTTCGAAGGAGGTCGTTCTTCGTCCCTCTTTGACGCTTTATGGTCATCTTATGTACAAAGATTCTGCTAAGCTTTTGGGGTTAATCTTTGACACTGGTTTGTCTTGGTAACCCCATATCATTTCCCTCTGAGTTTAATGCTCTAAAGCCCTTAACTTACTTAAAGTCTTGTCCCCATACTTCTTGGGGAGCAGATAGGCGCACACTCCTCTCTTTACATTCCTCTCTCGTACTGTCTAAACTCGATTATTGTTGACCTGCTTAGTCGTCTGCTTGTCCTTCTACTCTTCGCCGTCGGGATGCTCTGCATCATACTGGGTTGCGCCTCAGTTTTGGTGCATTTCGTTCCACTCCTACTCTGAGCCTGTATGTTGAAACTAACGTCCTGGCTGTACAGGATAGCCGTGATCACTACCGTCTTCGCTACCTTGCACGGTCCTTACAACTGCCTCACTCTCGCCTATGTTGTACTTTGACATTTACCCTCTCTGTGGGCCTTGTTCCCCTTCACCACTTACCTCTTTCTGTACGGTTGACTCGCTTACAATATTCTCTTATGGTTCGTGTTTCCATTATTTCTCCTCGTGTTGTTCCATCCTTGCCTCTGCGGAGGGATGGATGGATCCCTTCCTAAGTTTTGTAAAATCTTGACTAACGTCACTAAAGTTTTTATCCCTCCTTCAGTTCTGAAACGCCTCTTCCTTAAACACTTTTCTTCACACTTCCGTTCCACTTCCGTCTTCACTGATGGGACTTCACTAACTAATGTTCCCTAATCTACCTAAGTAGAGGGTAGATGCAGATTATATACATTAGTGCTATAACTTCTCTGGAAGTATAACTAAATACATATAGCAACCTAAAGATTCTGAGTGAGTAGTAAACCTGCACAGTTTATGCACATTAAGTTACAGTACTATAACTCTCTGGAGATATAACTAAGCACATGATAACTTAAATGATGAGATGAGTTTATTCTATTATGAGAAACAACTTGTTTCACTACTGAAAGTCGTCTGGTAAATGTTTACTTACAGGCTATTGTAAAGTTCAATTTTGCTTGCGCAAAGATACTTCTTCAAACTGTCTCTAAGTTTGCATGTGGACAGAGACAAGAAAGTAGATGGAGTTCAAACCAAACTGATACAACCCTGCAGGTGTATCACATTAAGTGGATTACTAAATCGTGGTCCAGACGACTTGGTATAAATGCAGCCTTCTATGGAAGACTTCCCTAAGGTATGATAAATGTGATAAGATGGGATGAGATGCTATAAGGACTGAATGTGGTCTATTATTACTGTCGAGAAGAGTTCTGGGTCTACAAAGGGGTCAATGACATTTGTTGCTGTGACGTGAACCGGTTTAGGGTGCTGGTCACTGATTTATCCACTGAGATCCATAGAAAGTAACTCGGCTAGTACTAATTGTACCAGACTCAATCTGGAATTAATGTTGGTTGTCAGCTGGCATAGACTTCTTCAGGTTCAAGTCTCTACCTGTAAGTAAAACGCCTCGTGCTGAACTAGACAAGTTCATTCCCTGGTGGCTTGTAGTTCCAGTAATGAACTTCTAATAATGGTCTGTCCATTAGTTTGATTCTATTTTTATGCAAAAATTTGGCTGTGTTCCTTATACCTTCGACATTTAGGTCAAGAGGGATATGGTCAACTACTATAGCCTGAACAGGTCGGACATAACCGCACAGCCATACTAGTGGTTGTACTACTTCAAATTTCTGAGGTCCAGTATCTGTTAAACATCCCGATATGTTCAATGTCACATTACACAAGGGTTTAAATTTCAGCTTGTTAGTTGCTTGTTGAGTGATGAACGTTGTCTGTGATCCCTGGTCGATTAGACCACTTGTACTGATCCTGGAATATTTGTTTTTAATTGTAGTCGTGCAGTAGGTAATGCGACATTATCATGAGATTTGGTGTTAAGCACCTTAACCTCTAGTCGCACCTTACAGCACAGCAATGCACAGTGGTGGATATGTCCTGTTCCACCTGGAGTTCAGGCGATTTGGGCCTATCAACTCCACGCAATGCGGAATGATGTTGATCCTGGTGGCACCTGTTACATATGTATAATGGGGTGGTGCAGGTATTAGGATCAGGTTGCATCAAGCACCTGGTGCACTTGTGCAATTCCTTGAGGCGCTTTATCCTAGTAACGCGATCAGGAAAGGTTTGACACTGATAAATGGTATGATTCTCAGAAGATTCTCAGACAGAAGAGACAGCATCTCCTTCCTGTAGCAGATGCAGGAGTCACTAATTTGGGTGACGTATGGATTATCGGTTTAGGAGGGCTGATTGAGTAGGTACCTATTGTAGTATTCTTCCATTTTGGAGTGGAAGCAGCGGTTTTAGACTTATTAGGCTGTTTAGTGGTACCTTTGGGTTTGACTGATTTATCAGTGGTTGATTTGTCAGTGCCAGACACTATTTTCTCATTAGCTCTCAATTGACTAACTGTTATCCTTAATCCCTCGAAAATCTCATCTAGGGAGAGGCTATCTGTTTTATAATGTGAACAGATGGATGCAAGAATCTCCTTAGGAAACTTACTCTGAATTTCTAATTTCAATACCCTTCTTTAGATACATCTGCTTTGACACCCAGAGCTTTAATCAGAGACTACCTGGAGCCTAAATTCTTGTAGAGCTTCAGGTGCTGTATCTGGTGTAGGTATCATTCTTAACTTATAATAAAGAATAGCAATAGCAATTTCTTTATTGCTGTAATTAACTTCTAGTAACTGAACAGCAGTATCGTAGACCTTATCACTAGGAATTAGGTGTTCGACAACTGCTTTTGCTTCACCCTCAGGAGTACCTCGCAAATAGAAGAATTTATTAGGCTTTCTAATGGAGCTTTTTGAATTTACTAAGGAGTCGAATGTGTTCCAATAGCATTCGGAATTCTTATCATCTCTACCATGGAAGTGAGGAAGATAAATTGTAACAAGACGAACTTCCTGGAGTGTTTCCCTGTTTATTAGTTTTACTCATAGTCAGAGTATTATGAGAAACTGAGTTGCTGTGCAATTTTTCTAGAGATTGCGTTAATTTG